GGAGGGAGGTTATATGTGGATGACATTTGATGTTAGTAATAATATTTATTATACCTGTAAACTATACCATGAACAAGAAGAAATATAAACATACTGTACAGTATATAATCTGTACATAAAACACAGGTCTGTCCAACAATAAGCCTATGGGCTTATACACAGGGGAGCTTACATTTGGGGTGGCTTGTATTCAGAATGGCCTGAGCATTAGTGAATATGGTGGGTTTATACACTGGGAGGGGGGGGGGATATATTCAGAGGTTTGTGCTCAAGGGTTTTTCTATGAGTCCTCTGGTTGTCCTTCCTTATAATCCCCACAAACTAACCCATGACTTCCACCCTGCTCTATGATCAGACATGGATATTTAACTTGGTCACATCCTTTCCAATTCAGCTGCAACTGAGAACAGGAATAAAATAACACTACTCACCAATCAGTGATGACATTAAGGGGGCAATATCAGCCTGAGAAACATCACATCTTTTCACCCTAGATAACCCCCACTGTTCTGATAATCCATCATTGTACTCGTGTGATTCTACCGCCTCTGATTTTTGGAGTCCAGCTCCCCAAGCAACAATTGGTGTGAGCGTCTCGTGAGGATGTCCTGCACCATGTGCGCCCCAGTTGGTCATACCATGGTCAGACGTCATTATGTATGCTGTGGAATTGTCATGATTGAAATACTCTTCAAATAGTTCATACATTCTCTTGATCCCTTGGTCTACAGTTTGAATGTTTGCAAGATATTCCTCAGACATTGGTCTGTGTGCATGGCCATTTGTGTCTATACCTTTGGGCAAATTAGAAAGCTTTGTTTAATTTAATTATTAATCTTTACAGAATGTCTGGTAAAAAATATCCATTCCCTTAATTAATTAGTCAATATATCATGACTTCAGTTGGCATTTATGGTTTTAAGTGTCATATTAAAGGAATACTGAATTGGTTTCCGTGCAGGATTGCGTGATCCATGCACGAGGGATGTCGCGAGACTTTCGGAAAGCGTAAAAATACTCAAGCCGCAGGCGAGTGTATTTTTACGCTTTCGACAGTCGAGCAACATCCGAAGTGCATGGATCACGTTATCCTACTTGGAAAACCATTTGGTATTTGGTTTATAAAATAACTACAGTGAAACAATGACATTTTGAGAATCCTGCGAAAATCCTGCGAAAGCATTTTAATTCCTCGTGCAGGATACTAGGATAGCCTGATCCTGCACGGCTATTGACCAATCAAATTGCGTGTTTCACTGTAGTAATTATTATATAATTTGAATTACTTAAGCCTGGTTTCCATTTAGTCCTAATGGTCATGACAATATATATGGCTGATCTAGAGTGACAATAACAATCTCCCTGTGCTCAGGAACAGATCCTACAGCACACAAAACACAACAATTGTTCACGACAGGTACAACCCAATGGAATTAACTAGGCTATTTTAGGAAATATAGATTTTAGGAAATTATATGAAATGAATACCTCTAATAAGAATTACCCAACAACCACCCAAACTTACCTAGTAAGTGCAGAAAAAACACATTTTGATCACTTCTCAGTTTTGCCGTAATGCTATCATTAGCATTTTCCAAGAGTTTTTGAACTTTCTCAAAAACCCATGTATCTAATTGTGAGTGATCCTTGGCAGCAAAATCTTCTTGGTGAGCATCATACATATCTGTTGAGACATGGCTACCACTTGCCCCCTTGGCAAACATTGGTAAAATATCTGGACTACCCCAAGACCATGTATGGCGACTTTCGTTAAACACAGAGTCAAACTCTACTGGATTGTCTTTCCAACCTGAGAAATAGAGAGTGTTTATAAAGTGTTTGCCATTTTCATTAAAATATTACCAACCGTGGAAATGTGGGGAAGTTTATTGATGGCAGACCAAAGGGTGTAGCCTCTAAGTCCGGTTTGAGTGTGGTTTATCTGTTGACAAAAGTGCATGTCAATTTCCATGTTAGCAATCTCAATTTAAATCATTCCTAATCCCAATCATAACCTTGATCTTAATCTTAATTCTAACTTTAATCCTAACTCTAATCCTAACCTAAATTCTAATCTGAACTCTAATCCAAACCTTAATTCTAACTCTAGTCCTAACCTTAAGTCTAATCCTAATTCTAAATGTAATCCTAGAACCTTAATTCCTGTGAGCTCCATATGTAACTGGAGCGAGAAATTGAGTCCAAAACGTGAAGCCAGCTTTGTGTTAACCGTGCAGACAAAAACAATAGAAAGGGACTGGAACTGACGTCCAATAGCTTCTTTAATTTCCACCATCTTGGCAATGAGTGTGCCGAAATTTTGTATTTTGATATCGATTTAAAGAATAGCCTGGAATCCAGCCCGCTGCATATCAGGCCCCCCATAAAATTGAGGGCCTGCCTCGCAGACAGAGCCTTGCAGACTATTTAAAGAGGGGGAATAGTGGATGTTAATGGCCATCATCTTGGCTTCACCTTTCTCATTGGCCGAATAACTGAAGTTCTTGCGCCAGATATATATGGAGTAGCCTGCGTGCAGGCCCAAGGGAACTGATAGTGGGCCTGCAACCATCACCCCATGTTTTCGATTTTCGCCGGCCGAACCGCCAGCTAAATTCCCATTGGCTAGCTGAGGCGATCGGTAATTAATTAACCTAGCGTGCAGGCCCAAGGGAACAGTGATTCATCACAAAGGCATAGACAAAGGCTCTCGATAAGCTTAAAATTTGAAAATTGATCACTTTTTTCGATTACAAATGGAACAAGAACAGACTGTTTATTGTTTACTTGAAGGAAGACATGTTTTTGCCGTTATGCCAATGGGGATTGCTTGTCGTGAGGTGTTGGAATAGCAAATTACGACTGGGGTAAACTATAGTAACCTTTACTTGAGTTTCATTAATTTCAAACAAACTTCAGTTGATACGTTATGTGTTCTCACTTCCTCAAGAAAATTATTTTTTGGTTGATGTTGAGATGCAGTTGCATGTAAGGACTGTAAGCCTATTCGAAACACTTTGCGATTTACAAGGCTTCGCTGAGAGAGCGAAACAGAAGGCGGTATTAAATTGCCGTTTGAAACGAAACGATCTGGACTCGGAACGCTCTCTTCTTTTGTAGAGTTCTTTACCAAATGAAATAAATTTCGTACTTTCCGCCGCCAACAAGAATTGCACACACGAATGGGGCGTGTTATGAAAAGGGGCGTTTTACAAAATACCGGGCGATGGTTGCAGGCCCACTATCAGTTCCCTTGGGCCTGCACGCAGGCTATATATGGAGCTCACTTCTTAATTGTAACCTTAATCCTGACTGTAATCCTAAGGTGTAAAAAAAACCTGTGGTTCCGGTTTCATATCGCGAAAAAATTAGGGTCGGTAGGTCGGAAATGATTTTTTTTTAAATATTTTTTTCATGGTTTTTTCAATAATTAGTGTGACAACAGACGCCATTTTGGCAGCAGCCCGCAACCACCTGGAGAAAATAGGGTCGCATGATCAATCGTGTTGAAAAAATAATAGGGTCGGCAGGAAAAAATAGGGTCGGTCGGGAACCAGAACCACAAGTACACCAAAAGTTACACCAAACCTTATAGTCCCAATTCTAATCCGATCTCTAATCAATGCTGACGGCATGGTCCTAGCCAGTGCACTTATGAGGCATTCACCCCCTGAAAATATTTAAAATGGCAGATGTCCAGGGGGGTGAATGTCTCCCATAAGCACACTTGCTAGGACCATGGTGTAGTGGTGTGAGCATTTCGATGCCAAATCATGGCGTAGCAGTGGTTACGCTTTTTTGCGTTAGTCGACCTTCTGTGTGTGTATTCTGTGACTGTGATGTCTACTTTTTAATTGTTGATCGAGTTCAATATATTTTAATAATCTCAGACCTTTGGCCACGGCGCTGACATCTTCATAAAAACCAGCGATTACTGCGACATGACCAGGTCTTGATTCAGTTGGTACTCGTGTGTGTGACACTCCCCACCTGCCCGAGTTCAATATTACGTCACGAATGAATGGTGCTCGACTACAACCATTTTCAAATAATTTATCTGCACGTAGTCCGTCAGCAACGAAGAGTATAAGTCGTTTTGCAGGTGGTTTATGTGTAGAACGATATGGAGTCATGCCATGAACTAGTGGTGAAGTAAAATAAATATCAAAGACAGAATAAAGATAAATTATATGTACTAAAATGCCAAGAAGAAGCGTTGTGTACGCCATATTGGACGCAATGAACGTGGGCTCAATCTTGATATTTTACTACAACCGTTCATTATTTATGGGAGGGAGGGGATGGGTAATTTTGGAAAAATTTCTTGACCCCCCCCCCACCTTTAGTCAAACTTAGATTTTAAATAGAAAGATGGTTTAAATAATATTATGGAATTATATATTACTATATATATATGAAGATGAAAATGTTCTCGAGTGTGTATTATATAATTTCCATACCCAGCGTAAGCAGAAAGATAAAGTCTGCCGCGGCTGGGTTTTGAACCCGCGACCTTCTTCAGTTTTATTTTTATTTTTCTAAGCTAGGTTTGGAGGATTTCTCAATATTGAGGATTTTTTAAATAAATGGCGGGGTAGAAAAAATGGGCGAGAAAAATAAGAATAAAAAATCTCAGGGCCCCCAGTTTCTCACCCATCGTCCCCCCTCCCATAAATAATGAACGGTTATTTGTTATCATTGTGAAAGGCACATTTATTTATAATCAATATAATCGAAGTATAAAAAGCATTCATGATTTACTAGTAACCAATATAATAATTTAATTAAAGCTGATTTATCGTTTGCGTAAAAAGCGCAGAGGTTCCTTTTGTCTATCAGTCCTCAATCATCTGTTTGACATTTCCTCTTTTGAAGGAATTGATCCTGCGTGAAGTTTATTTTGGTCACAAGTCAATGAATACGCCAAATGTGTTTTTATTTCTTTGAATGTTTTATGTTGCTTTTTAGAGATTATCAGAGGTGATTCATTTTATTTTTATCAAATAATGAAATAACCAAATATCGGTTTGAGCGAATATTCTGTTTTTGTTGAGCGCGTGCGTCCGCAAATATCTTACGGGGAATTTTATCTATAGAAAAATAACTGGTATCAAATTTCGGTTTATTGTAACAGGCACCATGCATGCATGCGTATAAAAACGTGTTTAATATTAATGAATTTTACCAGCAAGTATAAAAGTATTATATATTCCACACGTTTTTGATGTGACATTACAGTAGATGCGATAGTAAATTATATTCTTATCGCAGCTAAAAACCCGCGGAATTGAGTGGAATTCAATAAACAAAATTCCTCTAAAAGGTGTGTGTTTTAAGGTAATATTTCATTGGATAAATTTAAACCGCTTCCGTTACAAGTTTTCTCGACATGAAAACAAAAGATGCGCAAAAATTCACCAGCCATGCTTGTATTAAAAGCGACGTAGGACAGCAAAGAATGATGTATATGCAAAAGTAATTTGTTAGAAGAATAGCTTGTTAAAACATCAAGCAACCCAAGCACTTTGCGCCCACACTGTGTCATCAAAAGCTGTAATGATATATTGAGTGATGGACGGAAATTAATAACAAATAACTATCCGGATTTTTTTGCCTTGAACCAAACTCGACGCTTTTTTGTGCAATATAATATTATGGGGGACACCAATTTTCGTTTCTACAATATTGCCAGATTGTTTTGCATGCTTGTATATGATTGGTGTGTTTCGAACGCGGAATAAGAATTCACACGTGCTTGCTTTGTGTTTTGAATTCCAATACTTGGTATGACGTCACAATAGGTCACGTGATCTTAAACAACTGTGGTCATCTTTTATCATGTTGAGATTTATAGATGTTGATTATAACACAGAGAATGTCGGAACCTATAGTCGAGGTATTTTTAAATATTTTCTTGAATTTTCTTCCAAAATATCGTAAATTAAGGAGAAAATTTTGAGAATGTTATTGCATGTTACGTGAGGGTTTTAAAGTGTTGTACTGGGCCGAAAACGTAGTTCGTGCAGCGCATGTTTTTATATATGTCATATCCACGAGGAATCTGGCAATGTCAATTTGTTTAAATTTTTAATTTTTAGTGGGTTGGTTCAAGTTGCGGCAAACATGGAGCGTACACGTTTTACAAAGGCTTCAAACTAACAGCAAATGGTGAAACAAGAAAATATTTATTGGGGGAGTTCTATTTTATACGCAATTCGAAAGACAGACCTATTTGCATTGCTGAATTTCAACTGTTATGGCATGATGCTAATACTGATAATAAACTTGCATCAGCAAGATTATATTTCCGTCCTGAAAGTATCCCTGGTGGACGGCAAAGCTGCCATGGAAAGGTAAAAATTAAAGAAAAATCGTGAGTTAATGTAGTATAATTTTGATTTCAGGTTTGAGATAAAATTTGAGTTAATAATACCCCGCGAGTTTTCAGTAATCTGTTTACTACGCTTCATCGAATTCTGTTACAAGTGCTGATTTTTACTCATATTCTTGATTCGAAAACTATTTTTTAAAACATTTTATTCCATTCTAAATTAAATAATAAACTAGCAAGGTAGTAGAATTTCTAATAGTATTAAATATATCAGTTTGTTTTGTATTTGCCGTTATTTTAAAATGCGGTCTTGTTATCTACAGTTTATTTGTAATCAAATTATTTTCGAATTTTGCATAAAAGCAATTTAAGTCCCTTTGTATGCCGAGATTAGCAAGAGGTACCGTTTTTGCTAGACTACAGCGATTATATAGTTTACGAATTTGTCGTGTTTTAAAGAGCAAAAATGCGACAAATTTATTAAGAAATTTGAGCCAATTTATATTCTGTAATGGAATCTCGATCAATTTACTGACTGGCAATATGCTACGACACTTTGTTTGTGCTTTGCAATATTAATGTATACAAAAAATCTGTCGATGTTTTTGCAAGCAAAAAACAAATTACCCGCCAAAAATCTAACATGAATCAATTAATCGCAAGAAGGAATTTTTTCGTCGGTGTTCGAAATTTTTCAAAACGATTAGTGTATTTTTAAATTGCGATTTTAAATTTGGCTACGCGCCACCGATTTTGCCTCGTGAATTAATTTCCTTTCAAAAAAATTCCACCAATTTCGGTTTGAAATAAATAAATCCTAAAATTTCTTTACATGTGTAATTTTAAAAGGCGAGAATAAGTAAGTAATCGTGAATTGAAGCCGTGTGAATGGTTTTATAGAGTGCAGATTTTAACTTTCGTTCTGTAAACAATGTATATTGTGCCGTATCAAATTTGCATTTTGACTATTTAACAATAAACGAAGTTTTGAAGCATCAAAACACTTTTTATTATGAGATTATTATCCAGACGTTTGTTTCGTCTTACTGAAGTATTTTATCAACAAGAAACTCGTTTTAGATCAGTAAGAAGTAAAATTTATAAAAATATTTCTATTTTCTTGAGATTTGCAATACGTTAATTACGCAAATCTCTTTGATCCTTATTTGGCATAATGACTTGACTTCGATTACATAAAATGATTATAAACTAAAAGTTTGACATTCCTAAAAAACAATCCAGTAAGGCGGGAAATGGTTTTCATGGATATATTAAAACGCAAAAGCAATTCTAAATCGCATAAAGCTATCTAGTTACACCGCCAACACAGTACATCACTCTACATTTTTGCCGGATATACTGTATAATAGGTCTCCAGCAATTTCCTTTCTAAAATTAGCGATGTCAAAAGGGCTTAACCGCGAGCAAAAGAGAAAGATTTATAAATGTTCATGTTTTCTTGTCTTACAGAATTTGAAAATTTTAGTCAGTTTTGCGAAATAACACGAATTAAAGTAGGACTTTGTTTTTGGAGCGTAATTTTGAATTATTTTGAGGAAAAGCATCGTCACAGACCGTGTCAACATTTTGGCAGGATTAAGTTACATTCACAGGCCACATGTTGACAATAAAAAAATTAAATATTCGTAGTGACAGAAATGTTAAAATCCTTCCTTCACGAGAATAGCAAGACATAGTAATATACATAAAAGATGTAAAACAGTAATGAAAATATCTAAAATCCAATATCTTGAGAGCTCGCTGTTAAAATTCTTTTCAAGCGAAACATGCTTTTTATGCAATATGTCAAAACTATAATAAAAACCGTCTTTCAAAATCACTATGTGTATGAGGTGATTTCCATATGTGGCCGAATTCTTTTAAAAATTCTTTCCTGTAAACAATCATTCTTTTCTTGGTTTCAAAGTTTCAGACTTCGAGAGGTTTATTAATGTTTTATAACATGAAATACTCTTCATAAATCAATTTAATTGTGACATTTTAATAGACTGTCAGTATCGGTCACTATGTTAACGTAAAGCGTTGCAAATGCAATATTTACGCCCGGAAAGTAACCAAATAGAATGCATCCTTCTATCATTTTTTTTATCTTTTCAAAAATTATTTTGGCCTTTAGATAACATCGACATTTGTGCTTTATCGTGTGGTAAAAACAAATTTAAAACGTATATAGTATATTGCTATTGCGGTGAATAATTCCATATATTGACCTCTTTAGCGCCAATATGGAATAGTCAGAACCGAAATCACAATGTTCTGTGAATTTAAAGTTAAAACTGATGTTTAAAATTGTCAAAAAAATAATACTAGACATAAAGATGTGTTCTGTGTTTAATAATAATTTGTTAGTCATTGCCAAAAAAATTAATGATTTCGAACGTGATATTTGCTGTCCGGAGTAAGCTTGATTATCATGAAGGAAGTCGGCTCTTTGACTTTAAATACTGTCCTGTGCGGTCAAAGACAATGTTGTAGGGAGTGAATGTGGTTTAAAATTTTAGAAGAGAACATTAATAACGATACGCTTGCAGTGTTGCGTTGCGAATCAATTTTTTATCCGTATATGTTACAATTCCGTCTTTTAAAAATTGTTACATTGGTATTTTCGAAGGAATTCTCAGTATGTTGTAGCCTGTATTCCGCCATGTTTGTTGTATAAACTTGTATTATAACATCTGGTTTATCTTATCATTACATTAACAAAAAGCTTGGACAATTTTCTTTGAATTAAACGACATGTCTTGTTATGAACAAATTGTTAATTACAGAGAATCTTTAAAGAAAGAAATCTTTATAACTCAACTCATTATTTTCGCCAGCTATTGTCCTTATTGCTATTTATGGCATTTATGTGCATCAAAAATAATACGGGCATGTATTATCTTTGGACCGCATGCTGCTTATGAAAATGTCGTGTTGTTTTATCATGTTTTACACCGTTAAATTTCGTGTCAAATTTCTCTGTTTTGAGATATGTTTTTATTTACTCTTGTTCAAACATAAAGCATTTTACTTGTATAACTAGTGTAATATATATTTTTATGAAACTAAGGGATTTTCCAAAATATTGTTTACATGCCCTAAAACAAAGAATATTAAAATCCAAGGCACCCGACGCTTAATTCATAATGTCGTTATCATTGGCCGAAACTATCTCCCCTTGCTGCGAGATTTTTTGCCCCGTCATTTTCTTTGACTTGTTAGCCTAACTTTGTCTTGAGAATGCCAAGGTCTGTCAAGCGTATTATAAAGTATTTCCCCGTGTAGAAAATTATTTGAAAATGCAGACAGATAATTGTATATATACAGTCACGTATCGCAAATTGAAATTAAAAATGAAACCTGTACTTTTTTCCTGCCTGTTCCTGAGTTTCGAGCATTTTCATTTTCGCATACTTCGCCCCCACATAGCCACCTACTGCTTTCAAAAACCTCCTTTATCCTATTGTGAGCTCTGAATAGTTGCAGTGAACATCGAAGTGAACATCGGGGAGTCGACGTCAAAAACGTTACCAAACGTTTTGTTTTTTATACTCCTTTGTAGAAGTTGATTTACCTAAAAATCTTCACGACAGGTCTGTTTTACCCATGCAATGAGCCGCAATGAATATGGTTAGAGCAGTGCCGCAGAGAGGTTGGCGGGGGCCCGGGGCAAATTTTTTTAGGGGGCCCCCTTTTTGAAAAAAAAATTTTCCGGAAAAAATTTTTTCCGGACAACAACCTCAAAAATTTCAAAGCCCATCTAATATTACAAAAAAATTTTCATGACCCACCCAATCTAAATTGGGAAAATACACTTTTATAATAAAAAAAAACTTGCAGGCATGAACATTGTAAATACACACGGCACTGTATTGACATACATAATTCCACCAAGCTTGACCAACACATTCATCACCAATTACGATACTGAGATGCTCTCCAGTTGGTTGTATTTGCTGTGATTTGACCACTTCTTGTTGTTGTATAAACAAAGTACTGGCTTCAATAGCATCATTTGCATTTGATAATTTGGATAGTTTTGTTTACTTTTATTATTAATATCTTTATTTTTTGAAGTAGACATGCATGGGTTTTTGTTTGGTGGCCCAACCGTGGACATACAAAAAAATTGGCGGCCCATCGCAACTGCCCAAAGATTTTCCATGGCCCATCCCAAATCACTCCAGCCCACCCTAGCAGTTACTTTATGACCGGTCCCTAAGTCTAATAAATGTGTGAAAATTCCACCGCACATTGGCATCATCTTAGTATTTATACATGAACTCATTGTGGATAGAGCTCGACAACTGTTTCTCTGTACTTACAGCACTGCAATCGCAGGGCCGCGAGTTCCATTTCTGCCAAAGGGCCACTCCAAATTTCCATCTACAAATCCATTCAGGGTCTCAGCTAGAAGACCGTGTTAACGCGGCCAAAAATGGAAAAACACGGCAAGATAAAACAAACGAGGCTTCATTACTTATGTGAAGACGTATAGGTTCATAAAATAGACTGTTGCTTCTTACAAAAGGCAGCCTCTTCTCCTATTTATGTCGTAAGAAAGTTTGTAGAATCTAGTTTGTTGAATTTGGCAAAAGTGATGCCCTGATGTTTTTTATGTTTAGATGGATATAGGTAATGCATGGGAACAATATGGTGTTAAAATGGCTTTCCATTAATGCCCCAAGGCCAAGACTAGCTAAAAACTGATTGTAATAACAGTCCGAAATATAAGCGGATCATCTCCTTGTGTTTGCTTGTAAAGCATAGAACAACCACAGGCATAGTCTATATATATTATTGCCGAGCATAACTGGAACCATGCATTTTATATAGTTATTCTGTCAAATTCTGGGTAATTTGGGACGTATACACATCCAGGAATTTTAGAAACACTCCCAAAGTCTAAAATCCTATCTAAGACCCTGACTCCCTTCAACATTCCTGACTGTAGTGAAGATTTTGAGGTAAATCACGGTTGATAGGGTAAATCAGGGTTAATAGGGGAGGTAAATAAAAACTGAAAGAACCACAAAAGATTTCAATAAAATCAAACCACACGTGTAACGCTGCATGTTTTAAGTCTTTTTTTATTTCGGCTTTCCGTTGCACTTCACAAAGAATTAACAGGCGCTGTAACAATACTTTAAGTTTGGAAGAGGTTCGATTCGACCTAAAAAGATTAAGTGGAATTAGTGGATTAAAATGAAAGATAATTTTGAGTAGTATCGTGTTTGTTTAAAGTGTTTTGTTTCAAATGTGTTTTAAAAAGCTGATTCACTCTGTTCGAGTTTTTCTGACCGATTTTTGTTATAAATTTTGTTATAAGAACCTCCTCACCACAACATATACTATATTTGCTCTATCAGAGTCTATATCTTCATGGTATTGAGCACTCTCTGATATTTCGTGAACCAAAACGTACTAGCTTACATTTGATATATGTCATGATATCTCGTCTTGGTATCGATAAAGAAACCTGTTGTGTCTTTGGACGAGTGTTACTGTAACAAGTTTAAGTGCATATCGCAGATCACTGCTAATGATGTCTGTAGTATAGATTGCAGTAGATTTTTACTCAAGAACTAATTTTGTCAAACATTCACTTCACAATAAGGGTGTAATTATCTGGAATGAGTTAAATACTGACTTAAAAAATTAAAAATCCTATTGCACATTCAAGAAAAAATAAAAAAACCATTTCTTGTTGTTGCATTCGGAAACATAGATTTTATTATATGTATCTTTGTCATTATTTGAAATGTTGTAAAAATTCTTAAAATTCTTCATCTGATCATCTCTTTTCTCTATTAACTTACTTTAAGTTCTAACCATCAATGTAAATAATTAAATACTTATGACCTAGAGGTCTTAATCAAAAGCCTTTGTTTGATTTCTAGTAGACCTGTAGCCCTATTTTTGTAATTCTATATATATGTTTTCTTTTTTTTTGTATGTATGGGCGAAAACTTTAAAAATAAAAATAAATACGTTTTCCATACTAACTATCAAATGTGTCAATCTGAACTTGTTGTGAATTTCAGGATGAGTTGCTCTACACGGATGAAAAGGTTGTAATAAAATGCAAAGACATGATAAGCTTAGAATACGATGGTACAGGTTGGTCATACGGGATTAAGGCTATATCGGAACTAAATCTCCAGGAAGTTCCAACCGCCGGAAACAGTGATTCAGAAGATACAAAAAAGTTTCGATTGCTGAAACGAAAATCAAAATCGAAAAAGATGATGCCAAAAGAACGCGTAAAAATGGTGATTTTGAGCTTCCCGGCGTATTGTCGGTTCAAGTCTCTTATGAAGAAGTTATCGAATGGTCTGGTTTTGACAAAAGTGGCGATCGAAGCATTTGGTGGGATTATTCAATCCAGTGATGGTACATGGGTGTCGTTCTCAAGAGAGTGTTTTCATCATCCAGGACTGGCAAAGTATGATATGTTCATGCTTAATAAAGGTAACACATCCTATTCGCACGTCTAACAATGAATTCTATAGCGCCAACAGGTTCAAATAAATGTGAAGTTAAAAGAGCCAATAATGAACGTCAGTCTCAGACACTGAACTCTATAAAAAACTGGAACGATGTTTTTCAGGGTTCGTAGCAGTCTTTGAAATCCTTGAAAGCAGGGATGCCGGAACCACGGGTGCAGCGGGTGCAGTTGCACCCGTTGCCTTTTGTCTTCACAACTTTACGGGTGCACTACGGGTGCAGAATACGGGTGCAACGGGTGCACAAAGTGCCCTTTTTGCGTGAAAAATTTTCATTAAAAATTGCATTTTTTGCGCAAAGGGCATTTTTGAAAAATTCAATCTATGTTATTTCCGGAAAAATGTTTTAATTTCCGGAAAAAATAACATTTTCCGGAAAAATTTTCGGTATGTCCAAAAATAATTTTTAGATGCCCTTTCATTTTCATTAGTGCCCTTTTGTTAAGGAATATGCCCTCTTGTTAACCAATTGCACCCCTTGCCCCCAGCAACTTCCGGCATCCCTGCTTGAAAGTCTTTAAATTTGAATGCAGGTCTTTGAAAAGTCTTTGAAGTGTGCCGGTGAAAAAGCGAAGAAAGTCTTTAAAAGTCTTTAAATTCTTTAGTGATTATTTGATTATACGATTTCCTAGCTAATAAAATAGATTGATTGAAGCACGATTTTCGCAAATATCGACGAAAAAGTGCATTTTAGGATGTGATTTGACGGGACTAATTACCTGGTAAAGATGGTGCTTATACATCGCAATTTTTCGACACCTGATTGCTCTCAGAGGTCTTTGAAAAGTCTTTGACAATAGGCAGAAAAAATCTTTGAAATTTTTTTTCTTGGAGACTACGAACCCTGTTTTTGAAGCCGGCGAAAAAGCCCGTCTTGTAGGTAGGCCCTAGGCCCCTGCGCGGAAATTCACTGAATTCAGTACAAAAAATCGGCATCATTTCATATAGAAATTTCATAATTTTTCGGTCGACTATTTTTTAAGTCTGGCTTTATCGTGGCCCTAACAAACTAGAGCAAGTGGTCTTTCGGAATAAGCAAATTTTACAAACACAAACACGAGTGAAAACAAGAAATAAACCCGCGGAAAAACACCAGCAAACTATATATGTGGGATTTGAACTAAACATAGAAGTAATATCGACTACAGTTGCATCAATCTTACCTTTTCATTTAGTTTTTAGGTTTTAAGTAGGGTATTTACCACTATAAATGAGCATTTATGTGCAAACATTGAAAAACATGATGTTTTTCAATGTTTGCACATAAATGCTTCAGCTCCCGTGAAGCGCACGCGAAATACACGCGTGTTTTATACCTACAAGAGATCACTCTGTTGGCCGCATCTTATCGTTCCAGTAGTTATAGAGTTCAGTGGTAGTTCAGTGGTCTCAGATTTCTGTGCGGTCACTCTCATTACTTCTAAACAATACAACGAAACAGCACGAATGACTGAAAATGATGTCTGCTGCCTTTGGTTTCACTTTTCGTTCAATTCGACCATTTTGTCAGTTTAAGTGTAGTATAATTTAGAACACCTGACTGAAAATTCTGCGATATTATAGCTCCAGTTCTCAAAGGCAGACCTCGGAAAAAGAAACTGAGTAATAAAACTACAGCGTCAAAAGAAGAAATCAAAGTAAAACAAAATAATGCGACTGTTGAACAACAAGCGTCAAACGAAGCAGAGAGTTCGGACGACAACAATACTGACACTTCAGAGACAAGTTCAATCCAAGAACTTCCGTGTCCTCCAAAACTTGTATCAAGCATAAAAGAAGAAAAACGTTCGGGTGTTATACGATCTGTAAAACAAGACGGCAAACCTATAGCAATTCCACCAGTTCCAAAGTTGGTGAAAATTGAACAGAAAAAAACGATTCCTTACGGCCGTTATACCGAGTCAGGCTTAATGTACACTGATCAGATATCTGGTCATCAGATAGAAAAAAATATCCCGTCAAAAGTGTCGTATTCTAATTCAGTGATTGCGAGCAGTCCGTACAGAGATGGCGGGCAAACGAACCGCGTGACACAGACACGCGAGAAATGTATACGCGTGGACAAAGATTGTCCTGCGAGTTTACCCGAGAGTGTCCACGCATCCCTCGTGTCTCACGCGGCAACGATCACCACAAATCATCACATACAACCGCGAATGTCAACCATAATGTCCACAGCACTTGCAACACAAGGAGAAGTTACACAGAACCTGGGAACGAGTGATGGGGACGAGCCAAGAACTGAACAACCTTTGAAACGAAAACGAGGCCGACCACCTGGAAAGTCGAACAAATGTTTAAAGTCATCTGAGGTGAAGATAGCTCCCAAGACTGTAGAAGATGATCAAGTACAGATCAAGGTCGAGGATGAATATGTGTACACAGAGACAATGATGGAATGTGAAGAATACAGTCCCGAGGTGAGTGTTTATCCGAAACGTCGGGCAATCCAGCAATAGCCGCAGCGAGGCATGTACAGCTTTTCTTGGATTACACACGCAAAAACTCGTCAACAAGTTGTGTTCGCTCTGCTTGTCCCACGTTGTCAACAAGTTTGGAACAAGCTGTTAACAACCTGTAACAACCTTGCTGATATTATCAGACTTGTTGCAAGGTTGTTCCAATATAAGTCACGATATAACAGTCACGATATAACAATATTGTTACAACCTTGTGTCGTCAACCTCGTAATATTCTTGTTATATCATGACTGCATCAGACTTATTAGAGCAACCTTGTAACAGGTCTGATAATACCATCAAGCTTGTTACAAGTTGTTAACAGCTTGTTCCAAACAACAACTAAGAACAAGAAATGCGAACACAATTTGTCGACAGCTTGTGAGCAGATTAGTAACACCTTGTTTGCAGACCTCAATTTTTCTTGTTTAATCAATTTTGTAAAACTATTCCATTTCAGCCACAAAATGCAGATGAGCGTGACTTTATGAAGAACTTGAAAATCTTTATGAGAAAACGAGGCTCTCCAATTGAGAAAATCCCGGCCTTGGGTTTCAGGAAAAGTATGGGAATGTATTTATTAAATGATAGTTCGTTTATCTGCTTACCTTCGGAGATATTAAAATGATATCCTAATATATTGGGGAGGCGGGGATGGTTCTGGATATCTCGTATCCCTTTTGTTAGTGTGGTTATTTGGTCAAGTACCCCTATTATCACGAAGTCTATGACTTCCTTTTGGCTAGTCGTTTTAGTATCCCGTATCCTAAATTTTACCCTTCAGTATCCCGTATCCCTATAAATCCTTCAGGCCAAATATGGCCACTACAATGTATCTTTTATTTCCTATAGTCAATCTATTCAAGATGTACGAAGTTACCCAGGCTTTGGGTGGATATGACCAGGTAGGCTTAGCAGTACCAACCAGTGAGCTCCATATATAACTGGAACGAGAACTCGAGTCCAAAAAAGTGAAGCCAAAGATGGAGTTATTGGACGTCAGTTTCAGCCCCTTTCTATTGTTTTTGTCTGCAGGGAATGGTACTATATATATATATATATATATATATATATATATATATATATATATATATATATATATATATATATATATATATATATATAGGTTATCATATAAGGGATGGTGATATCAGTTTTATCGCTCGAGGGATGATATCACAATTGTCACGAGCGAGCGCAGCGAGCGAGGGACAATTGTGATATCGTCCCGAGAGCGATAAAACTGATATCACCGAATCCCGAGTACGATAACCTATTTATTATATACTTGTACCTTTATCAGGTTTGACACCCAAAAATAAACAGTTTTGAAAAAATAGGATCATTTTAGAATTCAAAACAATTCATCATTTACTGAACAAATATGATTTTAGAAAATAAATAGACCATTCATATAAATAATATACAATTTAAGTCTTTCGTTTTGTATTATCGTTCTTGTTTCCTTCGATAAAACTGTCGACATCAACCAACACGAACCCATTGAGCACGAACCTCGAGTCGGCCATGTTTGTTTTGACAAGGCGCGAAATTTAGCGGGACAAAAAACGATATCCGGGACAAAAAACGATATCCGGGACGATATCGTTTTTATGTCCCGCTGCTTCCTACCTGATAAAGGTACAAGTATGTGATAAACAGCTTATCAAATGCTAGCCTAATATTGACCAAACCTGCCAAAGCCAGCCAAGAAAAGGTCTTCTGTCTAGGCTGCCTGCATAGCCTGCGTGTTAAACTTCAACGCCTTTGCGGAGGAAAGGGCCCCGACTTACAGTAGTATACTTGGATCAGCGCTAAGTATAGTAAAGCACTAATCGCACCAATGTAAGAACTTACCTTCTTTCCACCAGGACCAGGATCCCCACTTTCGCCTTCAGCACCGGGATTACCCTGCAAAGAAATAATCGATGGTTTGAAAATTGTTATTGAAGTAACGCAATGAATTATTTTATAGCACCCTGATTGGTAAAATTGAAGTGATAAATATATTCGTTAATGGCAACCAGGTTTGTCATATGTTCTTGCTCGCTACTCTCAGTCGAGATAAACGCAATCCAAACGTGCATGTAATTCAACCGGGCATGCAATGCATTCATTTACTTAAACCAAACTAGTGACCGAAAACAGGTCTAAGTTAAGAAAATGTCATTAAAGTTATACATACCGCTCTTCCACTTTTCCCTGCATCGCCCTGCCTACCTTTGGCTCCAGAAGAACCCTGCAGAAAAAATATATGTTAATTACCGTTGTTTCAATTTTCAAATATACAATTATTTAAGACATATAGGGTGAAACCCTGCTTGATTGTGCAATTTGTAATATTAGTTAATTCTTTATTCAATTGCTGAAATAAATGAAATACCATGTTTCATGCAAAAGAAAAGATAGTGCTACAGGGAGAAGCATTAATAAATAACTAAAGTAAATTTTGAAGAATATACTGACTGTTTTTCCAGTAGCACCACGGCGGCCTTCAGCGCCTTGATCTCCTACAGCACCCTGGGATATAAAAATAACAATTAGTGGCAACTGAGTTAAATAAAGCTAATTTACTGCAGATACAACGATATTTGGAAACTTATGAGGAAAACATAATGCAATGTACAAATATTCTGCCAGGCAGCTATGTGCATGGCAGAATATTTGACGCGCTTTTCCTACATTGTGCCTTACAAGAAGCGGCATGAAGTCTGTTACTCAGTGAACAGCGGACATGTGCACATGCATGTCTTCACGCGTAATTACCTGATACAGTGGCGTAACGACTATGGGCTCGGACCGAGCGAACCCGGGGGCCCCAACCCCAATGGGCCAAATGGGGGCCCCAAGGCTCAGGCTGTAGAGCAAAAACATTGGTCAGGGCCTCTGATATGTCACAATGTCGTTTTCTGACCGTCAGAATTCTGTAAAATCTCTCCCCAAAGTCTGGGAAATGGCATTTCAGAGAGTCTAGATTCAAAAATATTCCGCGTGAGCATGCCCTGGACCCCTAGAAAACTCGTGCATATACGGCGCTTAACTCGTGCCTTTGGTACTTCTACTAGGGGGCCTTCGAAAATTTTGAACCGGAGGCCCCTGATATAACGTTCGTCACTGACCTGATACAAGATCTAGAATTATATAAGGTTTAAGTAGAACTATAAGAAAAGAACTACCGGACTTTAATTGTACAGTCAGTTAATAGTTTTAAATTTTGTATTTTCATTTTTCAAATTTTTACCTGTTGACCAGGATCTCCAGATGAACCATCTGCTCCTGCGCTACCAGCTGCTCCCTGTTGTGAGAATGTTAAAGATGAATTTGCATGAAAGTCCTGACTTATAAGAAGGGTACGGTATGGAAAGAGAGTGTTTCGCTACATAAAGCTACATGCAATTTACAAGTTCAAAAAAATTTAATTATGCTTCCCTGCCGTACAGAATACAATGCAGCTTTCAAAGTCAACGACATTTAAGTAGACGGGTTTACAAAGTGTGCTATCTGAACAATGTAGAGACCACTCTGGTGGAGACATTTTATTAAATGATTCGCGCATTTTATTAATATAATTAATTACATAAAATATGATTCTGATAATTTAATATTTAATAAATATTTAATATTTAGTCTATCCATATTTAATTTATGCCAATTTAGTCTGGGGAAATACTTACACAAATCGAATTCAGAAGTTACTAAGCATACAAAAAAAATTGTGCGTCTAATGTCATTTAAATCAAATTTTGATCACACTGATCCAATTTTTCAAGATTTGAAAATACTAACTCTTCCCAAAATCAATGATTATTTAACTCTTCTATTCATGTATCGTTACCACAAAACAGAACATTTATCAATCATATTTAATAATCTATTTGTAAACAATAGTGACATTCAGCATTATAAAACTAGAAATGCTTCCAATCTTCACAAAAAGTATAGAAGAACAAATTATGTCAATCATTCTCTTGCTAGTAAAGGTGTTGGTATTTGGAATAAGCTTGACTCTCATTTAAAATCAATCAATTCATTGATTGTCTTCAAAAGCAAATTGAAAAAATCTCTATTTGTAACAAATAGCTGTACAGGGTGTATAAAAAAAACGGAGTCCTCACATGAAGTGTAAATTTCAAAGCGAATATGAAAGTTAGACGTTTATACTTGCATTCTTTCGAAATCGCGATCTTTCGGCTAGTTTATATACTTTATTTTATAAAATTTGGAGTTACTGCTGGCGAGCTGTGTCAATTTAAGTAAGTGCAATTGGAAAATTGAAAAACGTAGATGTGTGTATTTCAACGTTCCAAAAATTAAGTTGGAAGTACACATTTACTCAACGTGGCCTCCATTTCTAAGTTCACACAAGTTCGTTCTTTGTCTCATATCCAAGACAACTCTTCTTCCCGAGTTTCCTTTATTTCGATTTAAACTTTATGCGGTGGTTCTTCCATTCAATGCATGCAGCCGGTGCTGACATTACGCCAAACGCTCGATGAAGATTACGTCCTGGAAAAGCTATTTGAAATTGTCTTAACACTAGCTGCAACAACGCTTTTTGTTTCGAAATACTTTTCAACAATGAATGTTCTTTCCGGAATTGTTAGCTTTGGCATTATAAATGATGATTGTAAAGTTTTAAACAACAACGTTCAAAATTTTAGCAAACTACCTTTAATAATTAAGTCCCCAAGGGACTTCGAAGATTAATATTTCGAAGCATCTAAAAACGAGCGCTTGTACTAAATTATTTTTATTGCGATTAGCCTTAGTTCAAAATTTTCAAGAAACCTTCATTCGAAAGATGAAAAAACAAGCTTTAAATTGAGCGCAAAACGAAACTATGGTAGTTTATTTTACGATAGAAATAAGGATATTTAGGACGTTTTTTTTTTATACACCCTGTATATATAGTAAATATAATCACTCTCCTATATAAAAACATTTTTAAGTATAGTTTTTGGAATTATAGGTATTAGTTATTTTGTACTTTTGTCGTTTATTATTTTTCTTCTTCTAAACATTTGACTGTAAATGATTTAGTTAATCAATTCTTTATCAACTAGGGGTCTTAATTCAAAAGCCTGTCCAGATTTCTAGTAGACTTCTAGGCCTTACATTACTTATTTTACATAATTACTATTCTTGTAAATATTGCTGGGCGAAATCATTTAAATAAATCATTTACAAAATTCAAAGATGAACTATTATGTAAAATAAAAGAATGTTATATATAAAAGCACGCGAGAATTCGTGATTGCACCACGACAGATATCAGCATGGAAGATCATAAATGCATGTTGCCAAGCAAAGTAAAAACATATACTTACAGAGGCACCATCTCTTCCACTGTCTCCCTGACTTCCCTTCCTTCCACTGGCACCCTACGTCAAAAATTAAACGATAACAAACAGATAATATCAAAACTATCCTGAATGCAAAATTACATCAGAAATTAGAGGTGGGAAGATCATTAAAAATATCAATGATTATACTCAGATCTATTGAAAATAAGGAACTATTCTGGAATTATAACAAAAATCATCAAATCAATTACCTTATCTCCATCTGGACCAGGAGTGCCTGGTAGTCCTCGAACTCCCTTAAAATAAGTATGAAATAACAGTTTTTAACACATGATAATTATATTACTGCCAAAATTGGCAAGGGTCATCTTCGTTGCAGAGAGAAGCTCTGTGAATGAGGATGGTAAACGGCAAAATACCCGGATCGTTTACATTCTCAAAGCGTGAGATCAAGAGTGTTGTGAGGTGAAGAGTGTTGTGAGTATTTACTTCAAGTGTAGTAATATCGTTCTAAAGGCAAAAGTCCACATGTTTTCTCTCCGAGTACAGAAACCCAGATAATCGTCCTCACAGGTATACAGTACACCATATTGATAATTACTTATAGTATACTTACAGCATCTCCCGCTACCCCTTCCGCGCCGACGTCACCAACCACACCCTGATAACGAACAAACAATGTATTTCTTAAAAAAAATATATTATTCAGCTGGAAAATTAAGCTATGTTGTATACCTTTTCTCCTTGATAACCTCGTTTACCAGCTTCTCCGGGGAAACCAACATCACCCTAAAATAGAATTCAGCATACAACATTATCAGGGACTGATCAATGTGCGATAATCAATATTCGATGATGACTTATCCAAGTCAGTTCCTTTGTTGACTCTAAAGTGTTCTTTATAGTATTCACTTTACTGTAGTAGTCAGGAGGTGTATGGTAACGAGTATATAATAAACAGATAGAAACATTATGGTCAACAGTATCGTATGTTGTCGTATGTCAGCTCTACTCTTTCTGATGATGACATGAAATCATAAGTCATTATTTGTGTAGCCTTATTTGTTATTATTATTATTATTATTAATATTAAAGAATATTTGCACAGGATAAAAATGCTTCAGTAATAAATTACTGCTATCAACGCATGTCCTGTATTTCTAAACTACAATGTATTAATAAAGCATGCAGACTAAGTTAAAAAGATAAAAAACTAAAATCAGTACTGAATATAGCGTAGTCCAGAGAACACTAGTTACAAAATACTATGTCTCATTTACGCTACAGATTAAAATGTTCTTTCAATGCTCTTTTAAATTGCATGAAACTGTCAGTAGCTCTAACATCAAAGGGTAGTTTGTTAAATTGAATTGCCCCATTATAATAGAAAGCAGATTTTGTGCTTTCTAATCTTATTTTCGGGATTCTAATCTTATTTAATAAGGACTTCGCTAACTCTAATTGCAACAATTAGAGTAAAAGCAAATAAAGGATGTTAATTTAGCCTACGCTGTACGAAGTCCAAAGGTTAGGTGAA